CTTCATCTTGAATATTTCTATTTGTATACCGCATCTAGAAAACTGTTCATTCTGTAAGGGGCTGTTCATTAGCCACGTCGACACTTTTTTTTTTCTCTGTTCGGGACATAAAACCACTGCGACCAGTAATTTGATCTATTGTAGTATATCCCGTGTCCTTAGTTTAGTGCATGTCGTATTACTCCATCACTATTGAGAAATGATGAAGTATTCGGTTTTGATACAGTTGTCATTCTTGCCTTTATCGCAAGGAATCGATTCTAATTGAAAGTTCCCGCTATTTATACCCTTCGGAGTGTTGAAACACCCTCCAAAGGCGCGCCCCTTTGTCAGTCAAAATTGGATTCCTTAGCAAAAAAAAAACAAGACATGACACCGATAATGACCATGCATCAGAACCCTAGTCTTAACCACTTCAAACTAGGAAACAACGAATAGAAGATTAGGAATCACATAGGTGAAGACTAACTAACTCATTTTTTCCTTGTTTCAAGATCATCCTCGGTCCACGCAACCCGAGGACTTATCACTATCAACAAGGCATAAAAAGTAACAAGGACTAAGATGTCTTCCTTTGATTACTGTAAAATCCTGTTCCCCTAGTTTGAAGTAGTCAAGACTAGGAATCGGTGGTAGATCTTACATCCCGTAACGTACCACGAAAAGGTGATCTACCCACGTTACAGGGCCACGTAGACACTTAGGGGAAGGGAGGGATTTGGCGATTGTCTACGGTGCATATGAACTTCCAAAAGTTTGTATGGGTGATTTTCTACGCAGGACGGGAGGTCTTAAACCTCTCAAAATTGGTCTACGTAGTTTATGAACAGCCCCTTCCTATATCTTGTGAAATTTTTACAGGTGGAATCCATTTAGTACGTCACGTTACGTATTTAAAGAATCACGCCATAGCCCTGGAATCTTGAAAACGATCTCCGTTCCTCAAGTGCTAGGTGGTGGATCTAAAAATGTCATGTCCGCGAAGGACTGTTTAGGTTGTGAGATGTTGTTGGCCATATGTTCCTGATCACATCGTCACACCGAAGGTCTTTGTTCAGGATGGTGCCGTGGCGTTTTGGTTGCACCGACTGTTGCCTCAAGTTTGGTGTTTGGCGTCCAGTGTTTGGCGTTATCCAACGATGATGTAGTTTTATCGCCATCGGGTTAGCTTGATCTCCACTTCCACCTCAACGGCTTCGATGGCTCTTGACTTGAAGCTGAGTGCAAATGACAGCAGATGTTTCTCTTTACAGTGATGGCCAGAGCTGGTGAAATCAAGCCTTACGAGCTGGAAATTAGGAAGGAATTCGTTTATCTTTGGGTACAGGTGGGTTTCAGTTATAACAGCAATGTTAATATTTTGCTCGTTAAGAAAGTCAATAAAGTCGATGTTCTTGCTCTTGAGTGACCAATCATTCCCACTAACTATTTTTATTACTTCATAGGCCACAGCTCTACAAATGAATGGCAAACTGGGTGAATATAGGTACCAACTGTTCCGCTGTGAACAGAAAGTCGGTATTGTCATCTGTCAGTCGAACATCATCGTGATGCCAGTATTACCCCCTGGCTTCTCCACATGGCATACGGTCATACCACACCTACGGATTGCAGACCGTGACCTACGGCATTGCTTCTACCCCTATATTGCCACCAAATCTCTCCAAAAATTGGCGAATGATGCAAGTCACTTTTCCCCTGCCGCTGCGGAACCAGTGGCCAACATCTGCTGTGTCTATCATCGTAACCGAAAGCATGTCGGATCGGGTTCAAACGGACGTTATTTATTTAGACCTATCTGCAGCATTCGACAAGTTGAACCATGCTATTGCGATTGCTAAACTCGGCAGGCTCGGTGTATGCTGTAATCTTCTGAGTTGGTTTCGATCATATCTTACCGGTCGGCAACTAAAGGTTGCCATATGAGATTACAGATCAGCTAGCTTCTTCGCCACATCAGGTATACCTCAGGGAAGCCACATGGGACCGTTAATTTTTATACTGTACTTCAACGACGTGCATCTGGTCATCGAAGCTCCTCGGTTATCATATGCAGATGACCTCAAAATCTTTCTACGAGTCTGCTCCATTGCTGACTGTCACTTTCTTCAACGTCAACTGAATGTATTCGCTAGTTGGTGCAGGTTAAACAGAATGGTAGTGACCCCAACCAAATGCTCCGCTATTACGTTCTCACGAAAACAACAACCGATAATATTTAGCTTTGACCTGCTTGGCTCGACAATTGAACGCGTGAATCAGGTGAAAGACTTGGGTGTGATCTTGGATTCGCAGTTTTCATTCAAGCAACACATTGCATATTTTATTGATAAGGCGTCAAGAACTTTAGGGTTCATTTTTAGGATAGCTAAAAACTTCACTGATATCTACTGTCTAAAATCTCTCTATTGTTCACTTGTTCGATCGACGCTTGAGTATTGTTCAGCGGTTTAGAACCCAAACTACAACAACGGTGCTAGAATATTGAGAGAATTGAATCTGTTCAACGTCGCTTACTTCGTTTTGCGTTGCGTAGATTGCCTTGGAATGATCCGTTTCGATTACCCAGTTACGAAAGCCGTTGTCAACTTATCGACCTACAACTTCTCCGGACTAGAAGAGAAGAGCAGAGCCCTAACCGTGGCCGATATCCTGCAAGGAAAGACAGATTGTGAGGCTATCCTGAGGCAAATTGACCTGAATGTTCAACCCCGACCACTTCGTAATAACCTTATGCTAAGACTGCCTCTACGTCGCACAAATTATGGAGCACACGGTGCGATTTGCGGACTGCACAGAACATTCAACAGAGTTGCATCTGTTTTCGACTTTCATCTCTTCCGTGATGCGCTTCGTCGAAAGTTTCATTCTGTTTTTCGCCGGCAGAAGTAACTGACTATAAGATAGGGGAAATGACGGCTTCGGCATGACAGACTATTTTCGGCAACCCAAATTGAAACACTATTTTCACTGGATTTTCTTACGAAAACACTTCGCTGAATGCATGCAAACGATTCTTTATGCTTTCAGCTTCAATTTGACTATATTTTTACCACTGAGAAAAAGCAGTCTAGCAGGGTTTTCTTGAAATGAAACACACGCACTACAAATTGTAGCTGATTTCGAGTTGCTGATAATAGAACAGCAGATTTACATGCAGTTTAAATGGAACGGTTGCCGAAGAAAAACTGGTTGCCGACAATACTCGCTCTCACTAGAGAAGATTGGAGCTTTGTAAAAGCGTTTCAAAACAGTTTATGACAATTCTTTCGACTGAAATTGTTAGAGCAGCTGGCAGCAAAAGATTGTAAACAAACCAATACTGCATATGTGTGCGTTCCTTAGTGAAAAAGGCTATAGAAAGAAGGTCACTGCTTAGGTTGCCGAGAATACGTAAATTCCCCTATTTCAATTTTGTGAACCTGTTTTACCCACCATCTAGAGATCTTAAAATAAATTCTATAGCGTAGAAATATAGTGACCCTGAAAAAGACCATTTGGGATCCAAGAGATTTACATCCTGGTACTTTCACGTTCACTGAATTACAGTCTGTTTTATGCTTGCAGAATAGCTAATTAGGCCCCTCCCTTTTGGAGTATTTTTCGTTAGAGTGTTACAAGTTGCAAGTATATGGCAGCATTCACACCATACCAAGACGTGCTCCGACCAGCATTGAAATGGATTTTTGTGCAAGAACAACTAGTTCTACTTGGCCCTTTCACACCACTGCAAGTCGATGCCGATTGGATGAGGGCGGCCCAATCATGCTGCATATTGTGGGTGCATTCGTTATCTTCTTCGTATTGGTGTGATGGCTGCTGTTCCACTCATACGTCGTGTCCGACGCTTATCCGTCCGTTGCTCGAAAGTAAATGACGAGGAAAACGATTTGGCAAGCGTTTAAATACCGCTGTTTTTCTCCTCTATTCCATTCATTATTGAAATGGCAAGCGGTCAACCGAGCGGTGAGCTCGCTCATGTGAGTATACACAATGAGTCGTGTGTTCGATTTGCGCTCTATCGTTACGTCCGTGTTTGGAGTTTTCCCAGTTTCCCCAGTATAGAAATTAAAGGCGTAGCCCATAATATTCCCAAAATATTGATGATAGCCATCCAAAGCATATTCCACGCAGATTTGATCTACAAATACTCCAGCTTTTCCAAAGTGTATGATTGCATGATGGTTGCGATTTCTTAAAGCTTATCATGACCGTGCAATTCTTCGTCGTTCGAATGCAATCAATCAAAATGTACTCAACTCCGACGAACTCCTCTCGGCTGACGAAGTCCTCTGTCGACTAGCACAGCTGGAGAACTTCCAAGAAGAGTGCAGCGATCTTTTCGCTTGTATAAACGTATCGAAATCGAGTCAGTTGAAGTGGTTGAAGCCCTATGTTGATGAATTTGCTTCGCAGGACGCCTCGACAATGCTGAACTATCCGAGTCTACCAAGTCCCCTGTTGTTGTAAGTGCCAAGCATCCGTTGGCTAGTAGGCTCGCTGTGCATTGTCACAAAACGTTACTTTACGCTGGCCTGCAGTTGATGTTGGCTACCCTCCTCCAGAAATGTTGGATTCCGGGAGGACGAAACCTCGTCAGACGCACGTACCATCTACAATGCTTCCGTAGCAAGCCGAAGTTGATCCAGCAAATTGTAGCAGATCTAACAGCATCCAATGTCACTTCGATGGGTCCTTTTTTTGTCTGTAGCGTAGCCTAGAGGCTGTTCTTAAATGACTTAGACAGTTTAGAGTGGGGGGGGGGGGGGGGGGGGTGGTTAATTATCCACGGAGCATACAAATTTTAAACATTGTGTATGGACAATTGTCTACGCAGGGGGAGGGTGGCGGTCAATAATCCCAAAAAACTGTCTTAGTGGTTAATGAACAGCCCTTTACTGCCGTTAAATCGGCAATCTGGAAGCGGGGTCCAACGATGGTGTATATGGTTATTTTCATCTAATTTTCCACATGATCCGTCCACATTGAGCTGGTTAGCGAAGACTGTGCTTCACAGGATCATTTCTGTAGGCAAGTTTTTTTTTCCGAAAGGAAAAGATTTCCACCCACGATGAGGAGACGCAGTGTCCAGCTTGGAGCGTGAAACTTGGTTGAGATTTGGTCTATCTGTTTCAGATAGATCGCTCTTCCGCAAGGTTTGGACGCATTCCTAAGACAGACTTTGGAGAGAGCGGACGACCGGTAAAGGATACCAGCAGAATAAATAGCAGCAGTAGCGGACCAACAGAGGGAGCAGCAGATTAACGGAATCGTGACTGAGGCTGGAAACCTCGGTCCAGTCACGACACTTTCCAATGGAAAGTGTCGTGACTGGACCGATGTTTCCAGCCGCGGTCACGGTTCTGTGAATCTGCTGCTCCCTCTGTTGGGCCAATGTCGTAACCGAAACGAGGTTTCCAGCCTCAGTCACGGTTCCATGAATCTGCTGCTTCCTCTGTTGGTTCGCTACAGCTACTATTCCTTCTGCTGTTGCCCTTTGCCGGTCGTCCGCTATCTCTAAAGTCCGTCATAAGTGTGGTGGAAGTCTGCCGAATTCATCGCCACACTGCGTCACTTAATTGCTCGAAAGGGGGACGCTACGCCACGACCTTCAAAGGAGTTTCACACGCCCTGTATCGAGTGTACCAAATGCTGAAGCAGGACAACACTGACCGAGCTCATATCCTTTATCTTCCATTTAGTTCCACTTAATTAACTTAGGTATCCATGACATGGATACCGAAGTTAATTAAGTGGAATTAAATGGAAGATAACCTTTTTGTGCTGTTTTATTTAAGCATTCCGCTAACAACCCAATTTCATTACTTCATCATATCCTTTTATGGTGCACACGTAGAAATTACTATTTTTACACGAGACGTAATTCAGCTTTGACGTAAATCATGGCACGTAAACAAACATGTCATGTAAAATGAAGTGTCCTGAAACTGAAACATATGTACCTCGACGCAAAGTGCGTTTGATTGAATTGATTTTCTCGTCCTTTTCAACTGATTCTTTTGTCAAAAGGGCCGCTTGCATGTGTCGGTTTCAGGGCACTGAAATTTACTTGACTTTTTCGTAGTGTTAGCGCAATCCGCGAGATCCAGTGGTTTTTCATCCCGCGCCACATTTTGAAGGTCTCTGGGGGGCTGCGGGGAAGTCCGCGAAGACCCACCTCCTCAAGGAAATTGGCAATACCAGTCTTGCCTACGAGGACATGCTCACCTTATAGTAGCGCAGGTTGATATGTGTCTCAATTCGCGACCATTATCGCCAATGTCATCGGAACCATCGAATCTGGGCTCGTTGGTACTCGAAATACCTCTAGCAGCTGCAATCCAGGACTGTTCAAGGCTGCAAATTACCCAGCAAAATCGAGATCGGATGGCTCGCCTTGCCTACCACCTGTTCAATGGCCCCTCGTCGGGATCGTCAGAGTGGTCACGCTGAAGACTGCCTCCTTGGACAACGCCGTGTGGCCTGTCGTGCGGATTGCCTTCCTGTCAATACCCAACTATCAGTTCGATACAACAGTCGGATTCCATTAGAGCAGTACAAAACTGGCTCGAGGCGCATGTCAGTTGGACGCAGGTAATTATCATTCCCATCAATCTTATTAACCTGTATGATCTACCTGTACACTTAGAAAAATTGAAAGGTGCTCTGAGACTGACATATACGAGCGACAGTTTTGACATAAATTTAAGTCATTATAGACGTGAAATCCAGCTCAATCAAACGTACTTTCGAACTTTTAAGACTCGGAGCACTTAATTTTACATCAAATGTTTGTTTACGTCTCATCCTTTATGTCAAAGATGGATTCAGTCACGTGTAAGATTAGGTATTTTTAAGGGTGTTGTCTTTTTTTTTTGACGTATGACTACGTCTGTGATTTCTATATGGGGGTACACTTTGTGAAAACCAAAAATGGAACATGTAACAAAATTATGAAATATTTTGAACGTTAATAACTGAGCGACCCCTGGACCAATTTCAATAATTTTATTACCAATCGATCAGAAATATTTCTACGCATCTGTTAAATATAAGACTTAATCATTAATTTTAAAGTGTCACTGTTGAAAATTGTATGAATGTGCAACTGTTTCTATGATAATTAAAATTATTAGCTGTGAAAAGCGATTTCCCTAACACAGATGTCAAAGTTGAATTCCATCCGGTCTCACCAAACGGTGTTTATTCAATCACCGCGTGTGGAGTGGTGGTGCTCTCCAGTACACAACGAAAGGCTGCCTGCAAGCAGCAAGCTGCAGCCCACATGAGCATACATAGAAGAAAGAAGAAGTCGCAAGTGTGAGTTGCTGTGGGTCATCTATGTCAAGCGCATCATACTAAAGAATATATGCAGAGAGAACCCCCCTCAAGTTCCTATTCCTACGCAAAACCCAAGCTCCTGATGCAGTTAACAAATAAGATTTATTATATAAGACCACGTAGTCCTACGTCACCATTGCGTACAACCCCATAGGGCTGTCCCTTGTAGTTTTTTTTTGTTTTCGGCTGATGAACTCGATCACCCTACCGATGTGAGGTCAGTAGTCAACTCGATAAAAAAATTGTTAATGTTTCACCCAACAACTCGCAGCATGAATACACATCGTCAATAGTGCGCGACAGCCGAAATTACAAATTTCCTTAATCCAAGGTTCGAAAATGCTAGTCTTGTAAGTCTTGCGCTCTAGTGCAAGAGGGAAGATAGCAGAAGAAGTTCGATTTAGTGTAGCCATTCTGCTAGCCTTTTTGGTAGCCGTTTCGATGGCGAATATAAACCTTCGATCCAGAAATTACAGCCTACTGGCTCGGACAGCTTGTTTTCAGGAAGACTTCGGGGTTGGCACTAACAAAAAGTTCTGTTTCGAACTGGGTTGGAATTGGTTCCAACTACACTACTGCTGAAACGCACCACCTCTGTGAATTCAATTTAAAGAATTTCCCATCTAATCTTGAAGATCTATACAGCACTACAAACCGATGGCCCTACCCTACTCGACGGAGGAGATCATTTCGTGCCGCAGGTCAATTTGAGTCGATTTGAGTGAATGAACATTTTCGCTTTGTCATCCTTGTCCCACCACCATCATCAGCAGTGTCACATCATTGCGAGCGAGCGATGATGGTGTGTTGGGATTGATTATTTCTCATTTCCACACAATTCGTGTCATATTGTTATTACCATTGTTAGCCACGATTGCATGGCATTCGAGGTTGAATTCCTCAACACTATTTTAATAGCATCCTGAGACTTCGAATGTGTAGTGGATCCCTGACCACCCCCATCGATCGACGACTATGTGGGTATTCAGATTTTTCTATCACGGAAAGAGGTCATAATTATGCTTTGACTTCGGAGCTGCTGCTGCTGCATTTGTTGCTACCGGTGGGCGTGAGAAGTTTCTGTGGCCACACATTCGCAATATTTTCGTCGCCATGCTTGGCTTAGGAATTTTGAAACATATATGGGATTGGCGGCAGTGTTAAGTGCTGCTTTTCCATGAATGGAATTAGCGTTTGATTGTTGTGTTTAGGGTGTTGTTTTAATTGAAGTGCAACAATTAGCTATAAGGACAAATGCCGCAATTTTGTACTCAAATCGACTTATAACTTGTGGAATGAATTTACGAAGAGCTTTTGATATCTGAATTCCTTTTTTTAATTATCGTCAGTCTCTGTTCCGCTATCGAGTTCCACAATCTTCGACGAGCGTCGATTGACAATCACCAACGGCAATTGAATGCCAGGTAGGCAACTTTTCCTCCTGAAACCTATTGAAACCGTCAACAAATGGACCATTTCTTTTCCTTAAGATTTTAAATGGAAAAAAGCAGTACTTGGATGAAACCGATCTTAATACCAGTACTTGAACTTGAGGTAGATTTTAATTTTGGAAAATTACCAATGTACATTTTAAATCACTAAAATTCCTTTCATCAAAGAAGAACCCAATTACCGATAGTCACGTTCCTGAAGGACGTTCACATAAATCAGACCGCAGACATGCTAAGTGGCGGTTTTTTTATGGTTTTTCGTTCCCTCCATTTCTCAACTACTAAATTCCGTTCTTGTTGTCTGCTTCAGATTTTATGTTGAAACATAAAGCATATGGTACGTGCCGGATTGGAATGCGTGCTTCACACCTGGTGATTTATTTCATCCATTTCCGACGAAATTGTACCCATTCAAATCAAGCTCGATTCGATGGATCGGACGGATCAAATCTGCAGCAATCGTCCGAATGCGGTTATCTCAAATGAACTCAGAATAATCTCACGTGGTCAAAAAGAGCTTCAATGCAATTGCCAATGTCACGATGCAATTTGTCATAAATCACATCTGCAGTCCCTAAATGCATTTTCTGTATCTGTGTGCCCTCAAACCAATTAAGCGCAACGCAGGGCCGAGTAGAGTAGGCCCTCCCTTCACCAATCGAGAATGATTATACGATTCGATAGAATGAAACGGAAAATAAATCGCACGCAAGTACATTAACTTTGGCGAGTGATTGTCATCACTCGCTGCCCGCCGGCCAACTGATTGGTGAATGGGTTTTGTACCGGGAATGGAACCGCAATTATTATGTGATCAATAATAATTGACAAATGTATTCGATAATTGTCGGCCGGGGTTTGCTGCGTACACTGCATTTCAAGTGACAAGTGCGTATTTAATGGTCGACAATTATGGCTCATAGAGGGACGATCGCTCTGAAAGATTGATGGTTTTGAACTGGATTTGAACCTCTGTGGGCGTTTCCAACTGCAAATTTCAGTGGACAGCAAAATGCATTATTTGCGAAACATCAACGATAGGTCGATTCTTGATCGATGCATTCCATCGCGACGGTTGATGGTATCACGATTACTTCATCGAAAGCCACCAAGACCTTGCTTTACTTTCGAGTCCCATTTGACATAAACTTGGCAGAAGTAAGCTACAAAAGTGAAAATCGGGGAGGCATTTGTCTGCTTCCATACAAACTGTATCATGACTCAGCAATAGTCACGCATCAGTGGTTTCATACGTGAGCAGATTTTCAAGGTGGGTGTGTTCAGCTTGCACTGGAATGATAAATAATTCAAACCCAACTGGGTCTTCCTTCTTTCGACACCACTGGTTGCCAGTTCAAACCGGGGCAGAAATCAACCATTATT